CCCGCCGCGGCCTCCTTCCCGCTGAGGGAAGCTGGGCCTGACCCACCGGAAAGCGTCTCTTCGCCGCCCCGTTAAACCGGCCTTGTCGTTCCCATCCCCGGTCTGGGGCTGAGGAGGGTCCCCGGGAGCGAGAGAACCGATGGGGGCCTTGAGGGGAGTTTGGAAGGTTTAAAATTTGAGAAGTGCGGTTAAGTGGCAAAATGCTGTATCATTTTGGTCGCTAGCCAGCCGCTGCGGGTAAGGGCTGCGAGCTAATTAGCTTTTTAGCATTAGTTACACTCCCTGTCCATAGCGTATGGATATAGTTAGAGCATCAGAATGGTATTTCTGGTGTTAACGCACCTTTTTGCAGCTGCTCCAGCTTCTCCTGCCCTCTGAACCTGTTGTTCCTCAGGTGCTCTGAGGAGATGGGGCACTACGCTGACTTAAAATCCGCTTGCAGGTCAGGAAGCCGCTGTTCAGCGAGGGTAGAGAACTGCATTGTTCTTGGTTTCTCTTAAAAAAACATCTGCCCTAATAAAGCTTAGTTGGACCCTCACCCTTTTTGCCCAGGCCAAGCGGATGTGCTTTTACCCTCCTCTCAGCGGGGCTTTGAAATATCAGTGTGGTGTAACCTGGCTCCCTTGGCAGCCAAAGGAAACCTCAGCAATTCAGTTATTGGCAGTAATCTGTGGAATTAGGGAGAATAGCAACAGTGTTGGGGGTGCGGGGCTTCAAAGTGTACCTCAGTACTGTTGAAGCCCTAGCTTTTAATGCCCATACTCTTTTTCTTCATCCTTCCACCCCTTATTTAAGCGTACGGTCGAACCATTCCCCTTCCAGTGGCTGTTTGGAGCTCAAAAGAATTCAGGTGTAATGCTGCGAAAGAGCAAAGGAAAGATGTTCTGCTCGGGTGGAAGAGGCCACAGGAATCCCTGGCTGTGTATCCCAGTGGGTACCAAAAGAAAAAGCGTTGATATACACGTCTCCGATGTCAGATTGTTCCTTCTTACTTGCAGGGTTGGGTTTATTTTTTCAGGTAAGTTGGCTCCACCCGTAACTGTAGAGGTGTTGGTGAGCTCCATAATGCTGTGTACATGTGTGCCCAGGAAAACGTTTTGCTTACAGCCAACCCGGGACAGTTAGATATACGCTGAGACATCCAAGTCGTTGAGATATCCGTGAGCTTGCCTTGCTGCGCTGCTGTGGATCCGTACCCTCTCTGTTGGGAGAGGAGAAGAAGGTGAAGCAGATCTCGGCTGTGCTGTTTTGCAGCTATACGTGTTGGCAGAGCCCCATTGACAGAGCGCTCTTAGATACGGCCTATGTTGATAAGCTGTTGGAGGGAGTTTCCGCTGGGGTTTTTTGCTTTTTAATTGCTTCTTTCCCAGCAAGCTGAGTTGTGAGAATATTCCTTTGCAGGAATGGCTGTGTCTGTATGCTTCATATATACCAGCAAAAAGGTATAATAATGAACAAATACATATTTTCAGCCAAGGTGATACAGTTACGTTAGAGAAGTCAGGTCTGGTCTGCCAGGGTCAGATAAGCATGGTAGTAACTAGTTACAGTTGTAGCAAGGTTTCTTCTAGTGGGAATTTTATGATTCCTCCTGAAGGTTTGGTATGTTATTACTGTTAAATGTTTCCAGTCATATGTAGATTTTCTTGTATATACTATTTTTTCTCAGGAGGTAACGTGGAGTGCTAGTGCTAGCTTTCTGTTAAGAGTGTTTTCTGCGGTTTCAGGAAAAGCAGGCAACTCCTTGCCCTCCCTTATGTCACTTTAGTTAGCAGGACTTTGGCTGGCGGTAAAAGATGTTGGAGCTAAACCCGTTAGATGGAAAATATGAAGTTAGTATTAATTAATAGGTGAGGCTAATCATGTGACATTGAAGCTGTCTGAGGAAGTGGGAATTAACACTTCATGATGTGTTTCTAAATGTCATTCTTAATTGTATCACCAGGATTGCTCACCATCTGTCAGCCAGGTAGGAAGGTTATTTTTACATGTACCAAGGATATCAGTAAGAACATGAATGTGCTAATTCTATTTGGGGCAGGCATTTAAAAAAAAAAAAAAAAAGATTAAGTTAAATTGTGTGTTTTTTTCACAGATGTGGCCCTTGTTTAAGGATAGCTCCAGCTTTCAATGCTCTGAGTAACAAATATCCCCAGGCAACTTTTTTGGAAGTAGATGTACATCAATGCCAGGTTGGTATTCAAACCCATGTTTTCAGTTGTGAGAGAGAGCGTGGATAATGTAGTGAATGGGAAACTTGAAGAAAAGCTGTTCAGACAGTATAGTAAGAGGAGTATCCTGTGCCTGTTGACACATTTGGTGATTCACCAATAGTTGTATCGTGAAATTCTCCGAAATTAGGAGATGCACAAAGATGTGAACAAAGAAAAAACTTTCATTTAGAGAAGTGTTCTTGTAGTTACCACTGGGATGTCCTTCATTTAAACAGTTTAACAGTTCTTGCTGCTTGTACTGTTTAGATAATACTGTTAAACGTAGAAGATGGCACCAGTATGAATTAAAAAGAGTAAGTCTTCCCAGACAAATATTGGCGTAATTATTGAGCAAAATGAAAAATGCAATAAACTGATGTGATTAATGTGACTAGATTCCTCTCAAGTACTACTCAACTGTTTTTAACAGACAGCAGTGTTGCAGGTGAGCTATTGATTGACTTAAGGGTCATTAACAAAAATTAACAATGGTATGTTGAAAGGAAGTGTCTTGAATTACTACAAATTATAATGGAGAGAGATGAACATCAAAGTGGTAACAATGTTTGCAAATGACACTAAATTATGGAAAGTCTTGGGAAAACTACTGTGAGTGCATAACAGGTATGGAGACAGGTAGAAATCAAACAGAATTCACCTTCTGCAGCAGCAGGCTGCAGTTCCTGGGTGTGCACGAATGTGGCTTGGGAGAGGAAGGAATGCAGGTGTAAAGAAAGCTTGTAAAATATAAGTGTGTGTTTAAGCTGTCCTCCACTTCCGAGAGCAAACGAGTGATACGATTTTTATGGTGTACCTATGTGAAGTCTAGTCAAAGAATGCCCAGATGTGGAAAGGATTAGGAGGATCTGAAGAATTTAACTTAAAATTGTTGTCCAAGTTAGAGCTGTTTATAAAATACCAAATATTGTTTGTGATGTTTGAGGTGATGTAGCTTGATTAATATCTAGTGTGTGTGTGTTCTTATCTAGGTGAAATGCCTAATACTGGAATACTCTGTTAGGTAACACTTGTTACTAATTTATGGATTCCAGGGAACAGCTGCTACCAATAATATATCAGCAACACCGACATTTCTGTTTTTCCGAAACAAAGTGCGAATCGACCAATATCAAGGAGCAGATGCTGTAGGTTTAGAAGAAAAAATTAAACAGCACCTGGAGAATGATCCTGGAAACAGTGAAGATACAGATATCCCGAAAGGATATGTATGCATCTCTTATCTTAAGATAACTTTCTTTAATGTTTGTGTAACTGGAGTGTTTAAAAAAAAGTAAAAAATAATTGTTCCTTTCTAGACATACTCTAAGTCAAATAATACTACTTTAGGTAAAACTGCAAGTTTGCCATGGCTTTGAGGAGATCATTTGTCTGGATTTCCTTTTTCAGACAAAATTAAAAAATTGCCACGTACCTATTTAGTAAGTATGGTTAGAGAATTGTAAAATGTTTTAAGAAACATCTCCGTGCATAGCCCTTGGTTATTAAAATAATGGATCTCATGTTTTATGATGAACTCTTTGGTGCAGCTGCTTATTCTGCTTCTTTCCTCTTCTCAGACATTCCAATCTGTCTTCCCAAAACATTTTTTAAAGTGTAAAAATGTCCGTGGGAAAAGACATTGTTAGATATGGCTGTCAAAACCGTTGAAAAGTTACTCTGGCTGTTGCTTAAGAAGTCCTCTCATTATTTATGTGGTGGTAGGTTCAGTTAGGTTTTTCCTTTTTTCCTTCTTGCTCCCTACCCTTTCTTTAATCGTCTTTATTTCTTATCTCTCTTTTATTGATTTAAAAAAAAGAAAAAAGGAGAGATTCTGTAGCTGAAGGAATTAACCTTCATAACAGTTCAGGGCAAGCTGCTGTAGAGGGAGATGAAGCTGAAAGTAAGATGCCTTTGGGAGAGTATTGTTAGATAAACAATATCTCATGACACATTTTCTCTTGCCTGATTGCTAATGTTTGCAAAAGTGGATGGAACTGCAAAGTATTCTCTTTAGATTTCTTCTGGCCTGTAAAGGAATGACTAGAATATAAAAATATAAAAAGTAAAAAAAAAAAAAAAGTCACAGGAATACTTGGAAAAGATTATGTGCCTGATCTGAGTGGCATACAAGAATGACTTCTTGCTGACTGAATTTGCTGACAATGTAATGCTTAGTGTATATCATTTTGCTTCTGTAGGGGTACTGCCTATCACTCTGGTAACCGCTGCCCAGGCATTGACAGATCGTGTAAATGAAGTAAATAACTTGTAACTTTTTAGTAATTTGTGAAAAAGTGAACGTTTCTAAATACATGTTCTCAAATTGAATGGTGTTTAAACCTTGCATCCAAGACTCTCGTAACTAAAACTTGATTTTAACGTTTTTCCAAAGAATTTAAAAATTGGTATTCATGAACAGATTTTTTTTATCATTGCATGATTTGCCCATGTCTTCTAGGTCAATCAAAACTTTGTAGGGATGCTTGAATCTTTGGCCAAAATTTCAGTAAGGGAGCAATCCGCTTAGAAATAATGGTGCTCTCAGGAAATTATTTTCACCGTGTTTTCATGTTACCTCAAGGCAATTGTGTGTTGCAAATCATAAGCCTGTCTGACAGCTGTACTAACAAACACATGTAAATGAGAACTCTAATGTGACAAAACGCTTTCCTAGAGCTGCCGTCTTCGGTGGTATTCGCCAAGCAATCCTCGGTGTAATATTACTCCTGAAATGAGATTGTCTGTTGTTCTACCAAAAGTATAAACACCGTTAGCTATGTGGTGTATTACATTTCGCCTAAATCATATGTCACAGTTCAGCGCTTAGCTATTTGCTGTAGCGTGCACCTTACTTTGCATTAGTGAATCTAGTATGTTAAACTTAGCTTAAACTGTGATGAGTATCTGTAGAACCCAAGATTATGTTGTTAAATGCAAAGGCAGGTTTTTTGGAGGTTATGTATTTTAAATTCATAGCTGGCCATATCCTATCAGGCAAATGTAAGTGGGGTGCAAATCCAGCTGAATATTTCTCATTTAAGTAAGCTGCAAGGGCACGGGTCACTTGAATTTCTAGCAGTTCAGCTACTTGCTAACTGTTCCACGGCGTGCATTGCACTTCACTTGATATGTGAACACTCACATTTATAATTGTTGTGAAATCCTCTGTGGAACAATGGGAATGTCAGAAGACAAAGGTTCAGCTTGTTAGCTTTGGAGCCGAAAGCACGTTGAAAATCACTCAAGTAGCAAGTTCAGGTGTGCTTGGATTGGTTTTGAGATGGACGCACCACGTTCTGTTAAAAGTTAATCTTGTAGGAGGTGGCATCTTCCCCCCGCGAATCAAGTCCTGAGTACGTTCAGGCTTGTATGACCCAAGCAGGAGTTCCATTGACCCGTAAGCGGTAGGCTGAAATGCAGCTTGGGGATGTGCTTGACCCAAACCGCACTGCCCTTGGCTCCAGGAAAGCATCCTTGTCCTCTTGGGCAGCTGTGTGTTCCTTCTCTTTTCTTACCTTGTATCTACTGAGGGTGGGAGTTGGAAGCTACGCCTTCAGTTGCGTGTTGGGAGGGGGAAAGTATTTTTTGCTCGGAATAACATAGTCGCAAGAGCTAAGGGAAGTAAGATGCAGGAGCTGTGTTCTCTCAGCAGTTGGTTTTCTGGTTCTGTTTGTATCGTGGAGCTATAGCCTGAGTTGTGGTATGCAGTAATTTTCAAGCTAGTGTGTGCTTTTTTCCAAGGGTGGTATATTATTCTTTGGGACCTAATATATGCCTTTAAGAAGGTGTTTTGGGGTTGTCATCCTAAAAGTTCCTTTAGTTTTTTATGCCTGGACTGTTCTTGATTTTTTATCTGAATTGAATTTTATCTGATCTTGAATTTTTACTGTTGCGGCGTGAGATGTTGATGGTCTGTCTTCAGGCCTTAATATATGAAATACTTGATTTTTAGCCTGGCTTATTGTGCTTCAGCTGGACTTGGGTTACTTTAGTTGCAGGCAAAAAATTCTGGTTGTCTGGAAATTGATACAGATTATTCTGCCTCTGCAACAATACCACCTTTTAAATGGTTGAGGCTTGGAGCATGGATAGCGGTCTGCTTTAATCTGAAGAGTGCGTATATATTAACAGTTTTAGTTGGACTCTTTACAGAAGAGCTGAGCAATAAACCAGACTGGTTCACGGTGAATTGTGTAGCTGCTTTTTTCTGTTGTTCTGTGTTTTTACCAAAGCATATGGAGAAAGGAGTAGGAAAAGGTTTCATAAAGTTAATTTGTATACAGTGCTGGAAAAGATGTAAAATGAGACTAGCTTTGCATATAAAGCCTGGTAAGAACTATAGAGGTGGTCTTTTAATTTGTTCTGCAATATATAATATATTTTTGGGGAGGCCCATTTCTGTTTTGTTGGGTTTTATTTTCTGTTAAGTTGATTGTAGCTCCAGTCTAATGTCTGTTTGTCCATGTTGTGGTGTGATTTACGACACTATAGTCTCGTTTATCAAAAGTGTATCTGAAAATTCTCCCTGTGCCCAATTTCTTATTCTCAGAAAGGCAAGCATGTGTTCCAGGATGTGGGATTTTGAGGGGGAAAATGTCATTCGGTTCTGAACAGGACACATCCGAGTACTGTAGTATTAGTAGGGTTTGTTTGTAATGTCTTTTGATATAAACCCCTGAGGTTTTCTGTGTGTCTTGTTATTTTAATCTGTTGAATGAAGAACTTAATTCATTCCAATGCTTACTAATCCCAGATGAGTTCATGGCGCACTTATCGTGCACTCAGCAATGCTCTTGCTTTTACTTTCAGATGGATTTAATGCCATTTATCAATAAAGCCGGCTGTGAATGTCTTAATGAGAGTGATGAGCATGGATTTGATAATTGTTTACGTAAAGACTCTACCTACTTGGAATCAGACTGTGATGAGCAGGTACAGTAGATATTTTAAAGTGAGATATTTTCAATGATGTCTGGTCTGCAAGTGTTTTTTTTAAGAGCTTGTCTGCTTGTATTGTTATAGTAGTGTAAGAAAGAGTGGGAGATGTTAGTAAGATGTAAGTACAATTAGTATACAAAGGTGGTTGTAGCATTTCCAGTTTCACATCCCCTTATGTGGGGGGGGGGGGGAATTCCAAGCAGAGTAGTGTTTGCTGATATTTTAAAGTGACAGACTAGTGCATGTGTGGAATACAGTGCAGGTAAGTACTTTTATGTCAAAGCTCAGGGTTCTTTCTAGTTAATTCTTGTGCTATGTTTGGTTTTAAGAATGAAGAAAACAGTATTTAACAGCAATATTTTTCTCCACAGCTACTTATTACTGTAGCTTTTAGTCAACCTGTCAAGCTTTATTCTATGAAACTTCAGGGGCCAGATAATGGTGAGTGAAGTGACTGTTTAATCATATCTTTGAAACCAAAGCTTTGCCCATGTTTAGCTGAATTTTTCTAAAAATGACAGTTTCCCTGGAACCTCTTACCTGCCTGAAAATCCCACAGTAGCATCAGTAAACCTGTTGTAAATGAATCGCATAACAAATGATCTCATTCATTTTTTCACTGACCTGGGGCAGGGTTATTTGGTATGACACAAACATAAATATTTATTATAGTTTGATGCACTGCAAAGGGAAACTTACATTTAATTCAAGAACTAGTGTGAGAGCTACTGAAAGGCACAGCTTAGTTTTTCTGGTAACCTAGTTTGCATTATAAAATCACATAAGGTGTTCAGGTGTTGTATGACACAGCAAAGCTATTATTTTTAGACTTTTTCTTGGATTTTTTTCTGCGGAATTCTCTGACACATAGGTGAGTAGTGCAGCCTTGGATCTTCTTCAGTATCCAGGGTGGTGATGTAGGATTGGTAGACAAGATACTAGAACTGTTGAAGCTCCTGCTTTCCTTGAGTAGTATCTAGAGACTGTGGTGAGCGAGGGCTTCTCAAACAGCATTTTGGAAATATAGTTAAACAGCGGAATGCCACTTTTGTATTTTAACACAGGGCAAGGTCCAAAGTACATAAAAATCTTTATCAACCTTCCTCGATCTATGGATTTTGAAGAAGCAGAAAGAAGTGAACCAACTCAAGCCCTGGAGCTGACACCGGATGATATTAAAGAAGACGGGATTATCCAGCTTCGCTATGTAAAATTTCAGAATGTTAACAGTGTAACTGTAAGTAAAGTTTCTACTCTGAGGTCTGTGCAGGCTGAAAACTTCATAGGCTTTTAAAGCACGGTGCATGTCTGTTGATTTCATTGCAACTGTTCTTCATTTCTCTCTGCCAATCACATACTGTATGCTTATGCTAAAAGCAGTTCAGGAATTTAAGGTGAGACAAGGCCATGTGCATGCAATGTCTCTTTTGACCTTGTATGAGACATAAGGTTCGCTTCCACCTCTTCATGAGCTAGCGTGCTGTTTAACACAGCTTGCACTTTTACTAACATACCTTCTTGAGAGGCATCTTGTCTTCATTTGAAGAGTTGAGGAGACAAGAAATCCAGTTTGTCAGTAATCTGATTGCAGAAAAGACAGATCTTTCTCAGTATCAAGTGCAGTACTTGCAATGTCTTTAAGCTCCGTACCTGCTTTCTGTGAGGGTTCTTAAATGCTGTAATCAAAGCACCTTTGTCTTTTAATGAGCCCTCTAATTCTCTTGCTGTAAGAGAATTCCACAGATTTCACATAGAGTTTTTGACTCCTAAATGCAGGTGCAGTTTCTCCTCTTCCATTATAAAAATACAGATTCTAGTGCAATACGTGCAACGACTAAATTGATGCTGGAATTGCTCTGCGCTTTGCATCGGCCAGGTACTGCACTAGCCTTGTTTGCCGCAGTATTGCGTTGAACTGTTTTTTCCTGTATGACCCCTGAATTCTTTTCTATGGAAATGTGTTTCATGGCCTGAATTAGGCATTTGCAAATGTATGGGCTTATAATTGATGGAATTAAACTATGTTTTAGTGGGCTGGCTGCAGAAATCACCAGCTTATGAGTTATGGGTAACTCCAAAACACTGATCAACCCTCAATCTTTTCACCACACTTTTTCTTCTGTAAAAAGGTTTCTGGTAAGCTTCTAATTTACTATTGTTGGGCCGCATTTTAGATCAGTTGGCTACTTTCATGTTTAGCACTGTTTTACTAGCAGTTATTTTAAATGTAATGGGAGGCAAACCTAACTAACTCCTTTTCGGAGTTACTTTTGCAACCAACTTTATCGTCCCCCAAATGAAATGGGGATTGGTCACGTAGGCTTATGTTCTGCAAAGCCGTGCTGACAAGTACAAGTTACGTATTTGTTCTTTAATGAAATCCTGGGTCAGCTTTAGACAAGATGATGTGCAAACACCAGACAAGTGATAAGGTGATTAAATAGATGTTCTGCTTGTTTGCACTCTTTGCATGTGGGCACTGCAGTAGCAGTCCCCTAGTTTCATAGCTCAACCTCGGTTCTGTATTTAAGACCACCTAAGGACGAGATGGCCAGTCATCTTGTCCACCACCTGGCTTTTCAGTGTGAGCGATGAAGTTCTGCTCACTTACGTAGTCCTGTGGATAAAAAAATCTGCCATTTGGTTCCTGATGAATTGGAGGAGGCATAGTTGTCATCTACAAAAATTGTCCTGCTTTTCTGCCATGTATAATCAGAAATGCTTATTGAACGCTTCCGTGCCGGTATGAGAAAGTTTGTACTTCGTTTATATATATATCTCACTGCTAGGTTTGTTAACTTTTTCTGGCTTTCTAATCCATATAATTCATCATATCCAATGCTGTTTTCCCCCATTTGTTGTGTGCTGCTTTTCATTACTGCTGCTTCAGTGGCATTTGTTTTCTCTACTTGTTGAACTCTTCATATCATTACTGAGATAGAATCTGAACGTCTTGCAGTTCAGCTCTGTCTGACAAAAGTCAGTCCTTGACGTGCTCTTCTGTTTCTTCCTGTCTGAAGAGTACTTTCTTTAGCATTTCAACCCTCGCTTTCCATACATCTTGTTTGGATAGGAAAATACATGGGCTTCCAACGACTGTGAAGCTGCTTGGAGGGGCAAGCGTGCAGTGATGTGTACCCCCCAGCATTCGGTGGTCTGTGGCACAGGCAGTTTCTGAGGCACAAGGGCATCTTCACAATGCTGGCTGTGGCTAGTGGGGAGGGCGTGATGCACGCTGTCCGTTGCCCAGCTCTTGTCCTCCCTCTCCTTTCTTTCTTCTGATGCCACTACTCCCTTTCTTTCTCATTCCTCCTTTCTCTGTGCTCACAATAAAGTGTGGAAAGATCCACAAACACCTCATTGCTCTTCCAACTCGAAGTTCCTTACTAATACTACTTCGTGCAAAACTTGTTCTTTCATTTGTCCACTTTAAAAAGTGTAGTGGTTCCAGCAATAATTCCTTAGTTCACATTGCAAAAGAAGCTTGATGTTTGTTTGGAACCCTAAAATAGCTATATAAATCCAGTGTTCATGCTATAAAACACATAATTATGTAAGCTGTAGTAGTAAACTACACATGAATAGTGTTAGGGGCTTCAGCAAACAGTTAAATTGATATCTAACTTCATTTTAAGCAGATTCCAGTGAATTGGGACTTCTTAGATCCTGTTTTTGCTTGCTGAATGTGGTCTCAGGTCGAAAGTGGAAGCTGGGAAAATCCAAGCTGTGTGGGGTTTTTTAACAAACCACCAGGAAATTAGTAGCATTCTATATAATTGTTATTTAAAACAAGAGGACAGTAGCTTCTCTAAAAGTTAGAGGCCTTTATAATTGGAAAAAGCGTTAAATCTGGTTAGTTCAAAAATCTTGAGCATTTAATGTTTTATATATTAATTCAGGGATGGATGATTTACCTTAACTCTTTGTGGTTTGTTTTTTTTTATTATTTATTTAGTTGTTTGTCCAATCCAATCATGGTGATGAAGAGACAACAAGAATTACATACTTCACGTTTATTGGAACTCCAGTCCAAGCGACAAATATGAATGACTTCAAGCGAGTGAGTCCTCTTTCTTAAAAGCACTTTTGAATGTTTTAAACCTACTCAAAAATGGGTTGATGGAACAAATACACTTGGTTGCTGCTACGATTCCACAACTTCAGGTAGTTTTGGCATCCACAAGAAAATGTGTAGCTTTATCTTACAAATCTTTGGTCTTGCTTACAAGTTTTTATTCATCAACTTCTTAACTGATAAGAATGTATATATGAAAACTTGAGGGGCTGTCAAGTTATATATTCTATAGACAACATTTATTTTTTTTAGCAGCTGTAAGATCTATGTCTTGATTTTGAAACTTGCTTTCTGATGGTGTTCAGGAAGTAGAGAAGCAATTGCACGTACAAATTAGACTCCTTGTGATTGACTTGACTTCTACTTTGAAGGATTTTATTCACTGGGCAACATTAAGCTTGAGATCTGAAAAGTATTTGGTCACAAGGTGTCTGTTCCATTAAACATATCATTTTTTTTAAAGCGGAAGTGAAGAAGCAAAGAACTTGTTACAGTATGACCTTAGACACACTAGTGCTGAACAATAAGGCACTCTCAATTCTTGATTATTATTTTTTGAGAATGTGAAACGGGTTTGAAAGGGTTGAAACTTTAAAGCTACTTGCAACTTTATCAAAATGTAATAAGTATTTTTAAACTAAACTGCTTTCAAACTCAGTAGCCTTTGTAAAAGAGCAAATACTGCTGTAACGCCTGTCTGCAAACTGCTGTGTAGGTGACTGATAACCTTGAAGGCACCACAAAATTTATTATACGAGTAACCTGTAACTTCTGAAGGGTAAAAACACTAACGCTCACAAACATGTCATGTATTGGAATTTTTAACATCACAACTTGATCTTAACTTCTATGTGCAAAACTTAATATCTTTGCAGGTAATAAGTTAATAAATAGAAGTTTAACAGGTTTTGCTGCCCTTCAGTGAAACTTGAAGTAATTGAAAAAGTTGTGCCAATGTACTAAAATTAACTGGATATCAACTTTAGACCTTCCTAATATAGCATTTCCAGTTCTCCCAAAACTAGAAATATGTTAATTGATTTCCAGTCTGCTTACATTTTTTGTTTTATCCGGCTTTTTTGGCTGTACTTACGGTATTAGGGCATCCCCTGCAATGACTTGTGCAGTTACTGCTTTAACATTGTTAATCTGCGGTACTTTCTGGTATTGCTGTGAGGGGGTTGGACTCTGACTCAGTATTTGATCTCTGTCTCACTTTCAGTTCCCTAAACTTTGTAAATTAGTTTTGCTTTCGAAAGTACTGAAAATTTACTTTCAACAAGCGCACTCTCTAAACCTGACCCTCTCATTTGTTAAAGTAGTGATTTATTTTTTTAATTGAGAATCCTGACTGGGGGGCACTTGGTAAAGCAATTCAGGTTTTGGGGTTTTTTTATGTGGAATGTTCCGTGGGTTTGAGACTAGTGGTGAGCCTGCACGATGTGTGTTTCGTACAGTATTTTAAGTTGCATGGACAAAATGTTAGTTTGGTGGACGCAGTACTGAAGTACTGCCTTAGCCTGAAACTGGCTGCTGTAACAACCTGAACTGCAGTCAGTGTTTGTGTGGGGAGTGGGTTTTTTAATTCCCACGTGCCCTCACACAGCCCTATAAAGGCATTAAAAATAGCGTGGCTTTCCAGGCGTCTTGGCCCTCTCCCGCAGAATTTACAGATCTCTCTCTTCTAGATGCAGTGTGGGTGCTTGGAAGCTGCTGTATGGCCTGGCAAATACTATGCCAGTTAAGAAATTTGGTTTTCTTAAAGTTTGCAGGTGAATGTCTTGGCACCGTCAAGGAGTGTGCCTCGTGCCATGCATTGAAATGGAAGGGGAGAGGGCACAACCCTACAAGGCTCTGTAGGCACCAGACTGGCCCCTGGTGTTGGCATTGTACTGCTGACGTCAGGAGGTTAAGGAACTGGTCACAACGACCTTAAATAGAGGAGCAGGCGTTACTGGGCTAATCCTGTCTCAGTTGAGATACTCATTGACACTATATGTAATATTCCTATTTTGTTTCCTGAACATGTAGTTTTAATATTAGGCTGTTAAAATATTTCATCATAACAAATGGGATGTGTAGTCTGGCAGAGCTGCAGTGCTCTTAGGAATTTTAACTTTTGTTTCCCCTCTTCAGTGATCCTGTCAGCTATGAAACCTTAATATAGTGTTGGGCGTTAATTATATTTAGGCTTGTAGGTTAACTGGGAAACCTTATTTTTCTTTTCATCTCCTTGAGTAGTTACCCACACTACTCAGTGCTTTCATCTGTCTCACTCCCTCATCTGTCTCTCTACTGTTCATATTTCTCTTCTAATTATGATAGAAATAGTATTACATTATGATTAACAAGAGGGGGGAATACTTTTTTCCCCTGAGTTTTTGAGAAGTGTTTGTAAGAATCTGATAAATACCTTATTTGAAGGGCTTGAATTAAGAAGTGGACATGAATGTGATTCCAGTCATGTTTTTATGATTGATCACATTGCTGCTCAGTATGTTCAGTTTCAAAGAAAACAAAACCAAGAAGATTGGTCCGAATGACTTCTGCTAAGGCTCAGGCTAACGTATTTTGCTTCCCAGTTGGGGTGGGATCTGAACGCATGCTTACTTACAGCAGCTTCCTGCTCAGCAGTTGATTATTAAGGTGCGTAACTGCAGCTCCCGTGTCCTTCAGACAGTCAAGGGAAACTCCTATTTGCTTGTGTAGTGCTCTGTTAACACCAACAGGACTGTGAGAAGAATCACCTCTTCCTGAACCTGTGTTCAGTATAAATGAGGTGCTGTTTCTATTACTTATACTATCAAATACAAAGCTAAAATTCATCTACTCTGAAAAATAATGGAAGTACTAAGCAGGTGTAGCTAAGTCAGTCCTTCATTAGTGATTTTGGCCTCAAGTTAGTTTGGACATACATAGAATCACAGAACAGCCCAGGTTGGCAGGGACCTCAAAAGATCACCTGGTCCGACCTTTCATGGGAAAGGGAGCCAAAATGAGATGATCTAGTGCCCTGTCCCATCTCATCGTGAAAACCTCCAGCAATGGAGGTTCTGCCGCCTCCCTGCAGAGGTTGTTCTGTTGATTGACTGGTCTTGCTGTAAAAAAAATGACTTCATTTTGTTGCATGTAGTTAGTATTGCTGGACTGAGTGAATAAAGTTATAAAAGCTGCTTTCAAACTTGTTTTAATACATTGGGTGTTTTCTGCTCTTTGCACAACTTGATTTTTATCCTCTGTGGAGGAGGGAACTCTTTGGAGTGACAGCAAAGGGGGACAGAAATGTTTCTTGGCCACACAAGGTCTGACTTAAGGTATAACTGATCATGTAGACTGCATTTGAGATTTGCTTCCAAAGCATAGACGTTTCTTAGTTGGACTACTTTGTTGGGCAGGCAGCTAAAAGTGTAGAATAAAGGTGCAAGTTCTGGGGGTTTTTCACCATCGATTGATAGCTTAGTATTTGTTACCTTCTGGTGAATCTTGTGGCGAACTTGTAAACATGCTTTTGTTTTTTGGAAGAGCACGCAACTGTTGATGTCCAATATAGTTCTGGTTTGAATGGATAAAACATACTGCTGCTCCGTTTTGAGGTTGGGGCATAGATGAGTATCGACAGGTTGTGGGATTTTTTTGTTGCCCCTTGAGTGAAGGCTTGCTTTCTACTCAGAACTGCTTATTTGCACTATGTGCTGCTGCTTTTTTTTCTTGTAACATTTTGTTTGTTTGTTTTTCAGCTTAACCTCCCATTTCTAAAGAACTAAAAAGGCAGAAGAAATTAAAACGTAATAATAAGATTGAAGTGGTCTTGCGCTGCTCCCTTCCTTGCTCCCTCTGCTCATCTAGCATCTCTCACCCTTTCCACAGTCTCGGCACTGATGCAAGAGCTGCCTTCTCTGCACCTTCTACCATCAGGAACAGCCTTCTCTACCCTCTGACTCATCAATTCATCTTTCCCCTCCACTCCCCACTCCAAATCTTACCTTAAAAACTTCTCTTTACCTTTCAGTCTTGCCAAATTTCTGTCCCACTGTTATCTTGAACTTGACATTTTAAAGGCATACCATACAGTACTTTTACAGATTATTTTCTGTAACTCGGTTTCCAGCCCGTATTGAATTTTGTAAAGCTATTTGAGATGCAGCTTGTGAAATGCTCTACCAAGACATGACTTTTTTTAACCTTAGTGGAGCTTAGTGCCCTTTGTCATTCAGTAAGCAGTAGGCAAGCTAGAATGGCTGCAAAGTACTACTCTGTGTTGTCCCTCTTGTGGCACTGAGCACCTGCTCGGGGAAGACGCAGTGAGGAGTTGGTGAGTGTTTGTACATATGTGGCCTGATTAGGGTTCTCCAACAGCATCTAACTAATTTTACTTACTTGACCTCTTATATTTCGAGCAAACAAAACCAACTCTGCTCCAGAAGGTTCTGCTATAAAGTATTTCCAGTTCTAATCTTGATAATGAACCATACTTGGCTGTGGCTTTGTTGCTGTCAGGCTCTGGACTGATGCTTGGGGAAAAGCCAAAGGATTGCAGGAAAGCCTGCTCCAAACCCATCCTCTTGTCTGGGAGTTACAGGCTATAACCACTACCTTAGGATGCACTAGATGGCAGTTGTTTCTGTAAAAGGAAGGAAGATGAATCTACTTCTGAAAAAAGAATAATGACAGTTGTTTTGGTTTAAATAGCCCATTTGCTTTTGGGAAGGTGGAGTGGGGTGGTCAGAAAATGGGATTCTTTGACCTGCGATGACAAAATATCCATATCAGTGTGATTGATTTTTCACAGATAATACACATGGGCGAGTTGTCATTGTCTGCCTCAGACTGGTATAGCAATATTTTTCATTGGTGTTCCACACTTGCTAACATCTAATCTTTAATCTTTTAATTGTGGTTTTTCTTTTTTTTCTTCCGTTTTTGTTTCGCTTTATCTGTGCGTGAACACAGTGTGGTGCTTTGGAAACACACAAAGAATAAATCCTGCTTCTTGACAATTTTAACTATATTCTTTTTTTAACTTGATTAATTTGATCTTAATGCAAGTGATTTGGGCTCCTGATTTTTATTTTTTCCTTCTTTCCTCATGTTGTCAGAGTGGATTTTCCTGACCTTAAGCATTAGGTTGAATTTACAGCTTGGTAAATGCTCCTGGTCAAGGGTTCCTTGGAGGTGAAAATGGTTTTTAAAAGTACTTTTCATCAGTAGATCTTAATTACTTTGTGACCGTGATAACTCAGCTGACCAAAAGCAGCTGTAGAGTGAAAAATTCTCCCTCTTGAAGTTGGACAAGAAATGAAAAAAAGATGCAGAAGAATGTTCCCAGTGCGTCCATGAGACTTGGGCGGAGGTTGGGTTTTGGTTTGGTTTTCCCCCCTAGTTCTACATTTCATTATTGAGTGTATGCATCTTGTGTGGTATATTGTCACTTAACTGCAGAGGTTATCAATACTTAACACATTTGCTATAGGAGGTGATTGGTTAGAACACAAGGAAGGTTTTACTCCTTCATTTTCAGCATTGTTATGAGCAGTCATGGGAAACCTTGTGCTCTATTAGCGTAATCTTCAACTCTGTTCACGTGAATTCTGACAACACCTTGTCAGAGCCAGAAGTGCTGCTCTCTCCTTAATGGAAATGAACTGAACGTTGGTGCCATGCCCAAGGTCCCTCCTGCAGTTTGAAGTCTTAAACTTTAAGACTTCTTTTCTTTTTATTTCAGTTTGGCTTATAAATGGATATTTTCTCAAGGGTCTGCAAGAGCACTAGAACTATGTCTGAATCTTTTCAGAAAAGTGACTGAAACAGCATCGTTTTCTGCTCTCAGGATTTTGTGTTCAGTTATCCTAAAGGGACTGGACACCCTTCTGCTGTGAACTCCGCTAACTTTAAACCCGCAGCGCAGTATAGAGAGTGCTGGAGTCGCGCTTGCTGTTGGCTGGCACATCGACTCACCAGAGTCTGGTGGCAGCGGTGATCTTTTCAGAAAAGGGAAGCGCTAAGCTGACTGATTGCAGGTGGAATTTGCAGAATTGGAGATTGGAAGGAGACTTGGTAAGGAATAATGTTTTGACAAGGAATAACTGAAAATCAGGTGACTTCCAGATTTCTTTATAGGTTTGATCTGCAGTGTGAGGTAAACGTTCTCCGTGAGGTACACGGCGAGGATGCCGAGGGAAATGAACAGACTTGTATTTGAGCACCCAGTGGTTCTCTTCCCACTATAATATTTTATATAGTGTATTAAGGTTGAATGCTTGGAATATAACACGGATATTTTTAAGTGTGGTCTGCTGTGTTGCAGTCTTCTAACTGTTCTCAAAATGAAACTGATTCTTTGCTGTCCGTACAAGTACTAAAGATAAGGTTTCTTGTGTGCCTTATGTCCCTCCTCAACTTTTAGAGGGGCTCACAGCTTCTGCAAGTGCTACAATAATGCATGATGCGTAAATGCATTAACTTAGTTCAAAACTCAGTTGCACTTGTTTATTTTGAGACTGACTTTCAGAAATACTTGGCAGGACTTTTTTGGTTAAACATTATTTCTGTTTTTTTTTTCTCTTATCAGGTAGTTGGCAAAAAAGGAGAGAGCCACTAGGACGCAAAAGACACTGGAAGGCCTTATCGCAATCAAAGAGATCTTCACTTTTATCTACAACTCCTGGATAATTGCTTGACCATAACCAGAGACTGTCAATCTGTTTCATTTAATGCCATTACCAATAAATCATTGCTTTTGTTGAGATGGAGTTTCCTTAGTGTGTTTCTGTTGTAATCCTCGTACATGTATTTGTAAATAAAATTCATTACTTTTGCCAAGTTTAATTTGGTTATTCTACTAACTGTGGCTCTTCCTTTGTTGTGTTTAAACTTCAAAACTCGCCTGGCTTATCTTTAGAAACAGAAGACATAACGTAGCTTGCGTTTGTTCAGAGAGTTGAAAATGTCACACGTAAGTAAAACATAAGACGGCCTTCAGAGGCCATCTAGAAATAAATTCCGAGCTACTTTGTTAGGAGACGGAGTGCACTTGGGATCATTGTTCCTGTGAAATCAGAGATACCTCTCAGCTAGGAGTAACTTCACCTGTCTTGGAAATTGCCCTTCCGCCCCTTGAGAAGTGGAGGAGGAGGAAGCAGCATATTTTAAGTTACGATTCCATTAACTTGCAGATTTGTCACAAATGGCATGCTGATGCCAGCTCTTCGGCACTGGCAATTCTTGAGTCTTTTAAAAGTGCATGTGGGGTTTTTTTAATATTAGAAAATATTGACCTGGTTCCCCAGGCAGCCTCGAGCAAGCTGTGCAGGTATGGGGGTTCAGATGTCTGTGCACCCCACCTGAACGTCAATCATTTATTTTATTGGGTGGCTTTTCCTCTCTCTGGATCTTGATAAGGAAATGTTTATTGCAAATACTAATTTTATATCTTAATTGGAATTCCTATACTACTTTTAGTAGATTTTCTTGGAAGTATGCCCTAAGTAATTTTAATAAATGGGGCGTTGATCAGTACCATATACGTATAATACTGTATAAATTCCCAGTAAAACTTGCTAAGTATTTTAATTGGCATAATTAATTTCTTTGTAAAGTTAAATTTGTTACATTTCTAATTACCATAAATCCCACTAAGGCTTAAATCCTGTCCTAATTGGCATTCCTTCCTTGAACGCGGTAGGGTGGTTCTCTTCTGGCTTGGCAGATCTGTGGCGAATACCAAGTTAACTTTCCCTTAGCACAGAGATTTCCTCCAAACAGAAAGCTGGAGATTGTCTAGAAAAAGACACTTTGTGGGTGTTTGGTGGGTTTTTTGGCTGTTTTTTGGTTTTGTGGGTTTTGTTTGTTGGTTTTTTTTACCGTACCACTGCCCACACCAGGATACTTGCCTACCTGTACTGGAGCTGAGGGCATGCACTGGTGACTCGGTTCCTTCCGTACTCCTGTTCGCTTCACCGGGGCTGTAAGGCACGTAACACTGTATATAGAATATAAATCGGTTTTAAATATAACTGAGGGCAATATGAATACCTGTTCCTGTTTATAATTTTGTACACTAATTACCTTTTGGTTATCGTTTAAGTGCCTCATCTTAAGTATTGCTTACCTCATAATATTTATACCCGAGAGATTTGATAACCTAGTGATTCTCATCTTTGTAAAAGTTTAGGCAGATTTCTATTGTTTGAGACTCTTCTGTGATTTCCTTGGTCGCATGATGCATACCTTCCATAATGATACTATGTACGTAGATCTAAATAAATGTCTAGAGGTAACTGTCGCATGTTTCGCTTAATGGAAACTGGGGTAGAGTGATGCACGAGGACCTAAACGTCACAGACCCGGAGTTAGGATGCAATGCTGTCGTGTAAGTGGCGTTACTCTCGCGTGGCGGCCAGGTGGCTCCCGCGGGATGAGCGCTTGCTGCGCGGCTGCATGCCCCGGGATTTGTGTTACAAGTCGCAGGGAGAAGTTGATCCGTGCGGTAACGGATCCCTGGAGGGGAACCAGGACGCTGCCTGCGCTCGGCCAACACAGAGGCTGTGGTAAGTGAAGTGGTTTGCTCGTCCAAGCTAGGCTGTCGTGAGGTTAAATCCGCTCCGTGCTCTGTTCAGTTACCTTTTATATATTCTACGGCTGACATTTGTTTGGGATAGGAGGGTGAAATAAGGTGGCGTATCACTCAGAAGTCTTGCGGAGGCAAGTGGCATGTGTATTAATTAAAATTATTTCCGTGCTTTGACGGGTAAGGAAGGTCTGACCCAGCTCTGACAGCCGTCCTGTCCCCTTGTCCCCCTTCAGCCGGCCCAGCCCCTGCTGCTTTGTTTGTCTGTTGATCTTCCAGTGACTTCTGAAAGGTTGCTGGGAATCTGTGGGTGCGGATGTCTCTTACAGCGGTGCCCTAGTTCAGCCGGTAGCTTAAAGAATAGTCTTTGCTGGCACCTTCCCTCGCTTCCTCGGGGTTGGCAACGCTTTGTTTGGTGGCTGTCGTGCCCAAGGGCTCGTCAGTCGTGGGGCTCCCCAGGACCGAGCGCGCTGGCCTGGGGACCAGGGTGGGGACTGCACGGCAGAACTCATCCGTACCTTTGTCAGCGCGTCGCCGTCTGAAACGTTCCTGCGCGGATGCACGGAACAGGCTGAGAAGGGGGACTTGAATTGCTAGCAGGTACCGTAGCCTTTTGCGTAGGCTCTCTCGTCCTTTATGTTAGTTGTGTGTTGAGATTAATAAGCGTGTATGACCGGACGGCTGCCGGACGGGGTCTAAAGACTGCCAGAGAGAGCAAAGACAGCGCTGGGGAAGTCGGTTATTTGCATGTTTATAGTCCTCGATGTTTTTATTTCTGGTAAGAGTTTGAGGTAGTAGAAGATGAACCTCTAAATATCATTTGGTTTCTAAATTAATGGAGACAGTATAAGTAGTAGCAACGGTTAGAAGCTAAAGCCTGAAAACATGCTTGTGTTTGAGGAGGTACATCTTTAATCTGCCCAATTCCTTCAAAGTACCACGTTGAAATAAGTGCTGCTACTTTCCTACTGCTGTCATCGTCTCGTTTAGCTGGAGACGCCCTTAACGTTTTGTAGGCAATAGGAGATGCGAGTTTCTAATGTGACATAGCCTCTTAAACCGTGCCGAGGAGGAAGTCGAGAGCGTGGCCAGAGGTGATAAAGAAGCAGAAACACGCAGACTCCTTCTCCTTCGGTCGGCTTCGCCGCGCTGGAGCAACGAGGTGGCTCAGTCGTGGAGCTTGTGGGTGAGGAACCCAGGGCTGCTCTCCCGTAACGTTTCTCCAGGAATCTCTCATACAGGCTTGACGTGGGGCAAACGGCCTGGGTAGGACGAAATAAATCCCCTGATGGAACTTGCTTTTGTGGACCTGGTGCTTTTTTTTTAGGTGTCATATTCAAAATACTTTGTATGCACAAGGAACATCAGAAGTAATAAAATGGGAGGAGACTTCCAATGTCCAAAGGGTTAACAGCTTAACTGCAGTGAGCTCTGCTTCTGAAAAAGTGATGGTTGGTTGTTTTTTTCTTTAACAGCTAGTTCGAGCTCCGCTTCTGAAAAAGTGATAGTTGGTTGGTTGTTTTTTTCTTTAACAGCTAGTTTGTACCTGGGTTTAGAAGAGTAGTTTTGAGATACACCAATAAAATACCTAGCTACTGACTCAGATATTAGCACTTTGCATGGCATAAAACTCACTTGTGTTAGGGAACATGAACCGTGTTTTACTGAATTTCATTCCTAGCCTCAAGTGCGTTCTGTGCATCTTAACTAGTCCCTTCCAGGTTTCTTAAAGATTTGACTTTGATACCAAATCTATTTGTTCCTGTGGCTGAAACTTTGAAGGGTCTTTTCTACTTGGGTAGTTCTTACTAAAGTGTCTTCCTTCGTGCCGTGCGTTTTTACGTGCACTGGAAACGAGGTGACTTGGTCTATGAGTAGTTCTCAAACCCAGTATCTCTTTTAAAAGCTTGGGAGAGCACTGCCCTGCTCGAGGCCAGCGTTGTTGCAAAGGTGGTTCGTGTAGGACATACAAGTGTGTGTGACTTTTTTCCTGCAGCCTGTGATGACAGAATGGTTCTCGATGCTGAATCTCCCATAAAGTTCCCTTGATGAATTGCACGATATGAAAACGTTGAATGATGGCATAAGGTTTCTTCCTTAGCGGTGAAGGGGAGCAGAGATGGATGTTGAGTGAACCACGCTGTGGATGCACTGGCGCTCCCCTGCTCTTCCTCGCTGCCGCCTTCCAGGCTCAGCACGCTTTCGGCCTGAAATAAAGCACGCAAGGTTGTCATTAAAAAATAAAACTGCGTGTGCAGAACTATGCCTGCAGAAGGTTGGATCCCAGTCGGCTGTGTAAAGAAGCGTTTTGCTGCCGTGCTCTGATACGGAGCAGTCCAGACCTTCTGTGCTTTATCCGCAGGCGCTTTGCCGCCGCTGCGGCCGTTACCTGGATGTTGGTGCGGGGACGTCCTCAGGCCGAGCTCTGAATCGCGGAGGGGAGCTCTGCGCAGGGCGCTCTCGCCCTCCTCTCCTCCGGGGAGCTGCTCTGTGACCGTGCGCAGGAGGGCGAGTCCTCTCCGACGGCCTCTGGGCCGGGTTGTAAGGGCAGTGAATGTGCTTTACGGATGTCGGCCTGGCAGCTGTTATCAGAAAGCTGAGCAGGATAGAAGAAACAAATACCTAAATTACCGCTCTGAGTATGGAATCGTGCTGGAAAATGTGTATAGAAATTAGTTGGTGCGATAAGGTCTTATTTTTTTATTAAGCTGTGTTGACTGGCGTAAACTGTACTCCTGCCTCTTGAGAGTATTTTGATAAATCTTCAAACTCGCGTTGTTTGAGTTTGGGGGTTTGGTTGGGGTTTTCTGCATCAGGACTGACGTCAAAGCGACTGCTGCTTACTTGGCCTTGAATATTGGCAGAATTTTGAAAGTTTTTCACTTCTTGATTTTTTTTTTTCCTTTGTTGCAACGCCGGGTGTTCCTGAAACAAACCTAGCGCGGGTAACGCACCGCAGCACTGGTTACATGTACGTGTAGGTGAAACGTTGCCTGACCGCAGCTACGTGGCGGCTTCACTGGGCTCTTACTCCTTCGTGCGTA